ATCTAAATTAGAAGATTTCGCATTTGTATCAAGTTGTTGGACAAATACAATGTTATACATAAAAAGATAGATCGTTCATTAATAAAATTTACAGAATATGAAAAATATTTTTTTGGCACAAATCTTTAACTTTTATATATGAATCAATATTCACTACAGTTTCCTAAAAAAATGGTTGGTCGTCTTTTTTGCATCAAATACGTCTATAAAAATCTATTGATCATACAAGTTGTATGCTTTGCTTCTACCGAGATATCTACATCATCCCAATAGCATCTCAATAGAGATTTTAGAATGCATCTTTTTGTTTCTTTCATTAGAATCTTGGAGAATAATTGATATTTGATTGTATTTTTGTCTTACTTTATTTTTGTTTACAATTTGTGATGAAGTAAAGTTTTCTATCGAGAGTCTTTGTTAGAAACGTTACTTTGTCCAACACAAATTGCTTCAATTGCATTAGAGAGTGATTGGTAAATTGGTTTTAAAAGCTATACAAGCATTTACATATGTATAAATTCTAAATTTTTTTAATTAGATTTGTTTGATTTAACAGCCCTAAAAATCATAAAATCATTTTTTAATTAATTTTCTCACATTATTTTTGTTTTGGTTGATGTTGTGCTTCTTTTTAATAAAGCTATTCCTTTTTGATTTTTTTTAATTTTAAAATCGCAATTACCTATGTCAAAGGCAAAAAATTTACAGGTTTTTTGTATAGGATATTATTGGATTTGATAAATAAAATATCTATTTATTTTTTATACATAAATTTACATAAAATTTTTATTATAATTTATAAGAGAATTATATAAATGTACACAAAATAATTAATGGTAACTTGTTAAAATTAATTTACATAAAAATTAGTTATTAAATTGTTAAAATTAATTGCTAAAATTATTAAAAATCACTTAATTTTTCTTTTGTTTTTAATACATAATTTATAAAAATAAATATCAAATAATTAGATGAGACATGATAGCATTTCATCGTTTATTGAAAAACTTTAAGATCATTTTTAAAACCATGATACGTAATGGTAATGCAACCAAAGAATCTCTCTATATTAAAATAGTATCATCTTTTCCACTAATCAACGTAATAATCATTTAACAAACAATTAATAGAAAAAAGGAAAAAAAAATCCTAAGAAAATCCTTGGTAACATAAACACCATGAATGGAGTTTCTTTGGCCAACCCCGACCCCATCATCATCATCTCATTACCCACTTCCCTCCCCCCCAAAAATCATATTCTCTCTTATCTCTCTCTCTTTTTATTCTTAATTCATAATCAAATATCTCTTCTTTTTCCCTTTTCATTCCTTACATTTCACTCAATAATTACCCGGATCTCTCCGATCCGATCCACCCACCAAAAACCACAAAAACCTTCCTCAATTTGATCATTTGGGTCATCTAAAAATTTGATCTTGGAATCATCCATGGGAAACATCAGCAGCAGCGGCGGCGACGGTAGACGCCGTCGTCGTCGGAACAACCATACGCTTCCAACGGCGA